AGAAGAGAATGTAGAAAAAGTAATAAGAGAAATGGTTGTAAGTATAAGAAAAGGGGGGAATATTTATAAGTAGCGGAAGTGAGGGAAATAGGTCAAAAATGGAGAAAAGGAGGGGAGGTCGTAAGTAAAAGAAAGTGGAGAGAAAGTTATAAGTTAGGAAAGTAGAAAAAAATTCTTAAGTAACAGAAGTGGAGTAAAGGTCATGAGTTGGAGGAAGTGGGGTAAAAGAGGGTACCTTGATCCCACCGTTATTAGTGCTGCTTTTAAATATTCTACCAGCCAAAACAAATTCGGGCTATATAGATGTGTTCCTTGTTGTTACCAATATCTTAATGCATATAAGCAAAGTTTTTTTTAAAAAGAGTTTTAATGTTCGTGGGTATCTAAACTATTCTATTTAGCATCACAAAAGGGATAAAAACTTTTATCTCCACCCTAAGATCTATCCATTATCAAATATAATGGAATTAGTTAATTTTTTTTTGACGTCCATAATACCACAATTGGCATAAGACAGCATACTTGGTCTGTAGGCACAGAGAAGAAAAACATTAAATCATTAAGAATGTAACTTATCTCATTATCCACAGAATTTAAATAAAAACTATGACAAGCTCCAGAAGGTTGAAATTTTTTTAAGATAAATCTACTCATAATGTGAAAAATGAGCAAAATTCTGGCAATTATATAAATAAAAAAAATCTTGAATATTTTTATTCTTTTTCATAAATTATAGATTAAATACTGTGAACCCAATAGGTCTTTGAATTCTATCTATCTCTACTTAATTCCATTTAAAAAAAATTCTGTGTCGCTTATTTATATTCGAGCTTACTAAATTATAAAATTTTGTAAGACATTCGTAAATTGCATAAAGATATAAAAAACAGAAATCTTTGTTTCTGAAAAAGATTCGATAAAAATCAATTAAATAAGTAAAGGAAAATAAGATTTAAAAAAAATTTTCAAAACCTTTAGAATTCACTGCTTTAACGATTTTAAATTCTTGTCATTCTATACCTGCATGTTAATTCTCTTGTTGATATAAAACCATTACTTTGAAAGCAAATTAACTTTGTTTCAATTAAAAGCTTTTTTTCCTCCGCTTTTCGGGAGAATAATCTTTTCTGCAATTGCAAAATCAATCTTACAATCGAAATTCAAAACAAACAAAGGAGAAAGATTCTGCTCGAAATCTTGTTACGCATGTCTCTGACGTATTACAAATCAAAGCATTCTTTCCCCCATGATTTATCAATGATTTCGAATATTCTTAACGTTGGAATTTCCCGCTAAATGAAATCGAACTAAATAAAAGTGCAAACGATTTTTTTTCTTCAATTTTTGAGAGAGGAAAAAAAGAAGGTGGACTCAATGGCATTTTGTTATGAAAGGGTAGTTCTCTCTATTGTTCCAGTTCTTAGAAAAGTGAAGGAAGAACATTTCTAAGAAAAAGAAAGTATGAGTTCGTTGGCATCACCATGCCAAAGGGTGTTCTTCTCTTTCGGATTGTGCCATCCCTTCTTCTCAGGAGCAAGGATCGATGACTAAAACGAACGACGGGATTCTTGTTCGAAATGGTAGAACGAAAGAGTAGGAGGATGGGATGGACCGGCGAAGAAAAGGTCCCTTTTCGAAGTTAGCTGGAAGCTAACTACAACGCCGCTTTGGAATTTATTCAGCGCCTTTAAATTGAATATGCTGGAAGCATTCGGGATCGTTTCCATGTCTAGACAGTCTTCTAGAACTTGATCTACGAAATCCAAGAAATAAAAAATAAATGTGAGTGTCAGAAATTTAATTTGGAAGTGCTATCCATAGGAACAAGTTTTCAAAAATATTCGAAGCCTAGTGCGTATTTTCTTTCTGGAATGTACGGTTATTTTGCCATCCTATCAGAAGTTCTCAATCATCTTAAGCAACTGTAACAACTAATCCGATACATGTACGTAGCTAAATATTTACGCAATCCAAAAAAAAAGAAAGAAACGAGCATAAAATAGTAATTATTAGTAATTATTCAATACTGTAATATATTGTTTTTTTTTTCTTTTTTAATTTTAAAATCATAGAATAGCAATCCAACTTAAATATTCACTTAATAGAGTAAGCCTCACTTCACAAGTCATTTCCACCCTACTTTAAAATTAACTCATCATCAGCTTATATCTGATGCCACATAAGAAAATTAGACCATAAGTTAGCAGGATGGACATGAAAAATAAGAGAAAACAACCATTAAATTTTATTGGGAATTGAATTCGATTGAGAATCTATTCTAATATTGAGTTTAATTCGAAATGAATTTGTGTTTATAATATTTTAGACAAAAATTCAGCGCAGCAACTCCCTGTTCTTTTATAATAAAATAAAGCAACTTCGACTCATTTTAATAAAAATACGAGAAAATGGCAAAAAATCTTGTTATGGGTGGGAGAATTAGAACGCGTCCACGTCTGTATATCATGCGCCATCTTTGCTGAGAAACAAAATTTTTTTGTAATTGTAGAAAGCATTTATACTTAAACGTTCAGGACGCTTCAAAAAAAAATGTTGAACCTTTCTAATCTCGATGATACTATCGTTTTGTTAGAGAAGGATTTTAAAGAGAAAAAAAATGTTCGATGGAACCCAGTTTGATGGACTATGTTTTAAATTAAAATGCTTTCTACAAAAACGAAGGTATGAAATTAGAAAGCATCTGTCAAGTGCTATTAACTGGTATTTTCAGAAAGTATCAAGGATTCTGGTTAAATCTCTGTGTTGATTTTGGTATGTGAATGATCTTCCCTCAAAAGTTATAATAAATTTTTAGCAATTTTAGTTTGTCTAATGTCTTTAAAGTTTTTCTTGTCACTGTAAAATATTTTTTTAAAAATAAAATAATCTTTTTTTCTTTGATACAATTTGAATCTCATTATCTTCTCTGCATAGCAGTATTCCAGTGAAATTAGAACGAAGTAGGGCAAACATTACACAATACTTCAAAAATAAGTGCTTCGAATAAGGGTAAGTGTCCCCAATTTGTGACAAAACATTTAAATTAATAAATAAATAGATAAAATGTTGCTGTTAAATCAATACCATTTTGTCAAACTGCAGAAATCTTTAAGGTGTAGTTATAGTTATAAGTATTTTATAAATACTTATTTATATGGTATAGTGAGAGTTTATTTCATGATATATTCTCTATACAAGGCATTATGACTGTAACCAAACAAATTACTTCTCAGTTGTCATCGAAAACTGCAATTCGATCCATTAGTAGTATGATTAAAGCTAAAAGTGGGAAAGGTTAAAATTTCAATCATCCAATATTACCAATGATTCCAATCATTAAAAAAAACCCTCACTTTTTGGAAAAGTTACTAAAATAAATATATTTCAGTATTTCTAAATTATTCATATAATTGTCATTTAAAATATATGTTCCATCCGTAAGACATACACTATCTTCGATGTGAAATAACTTACCTTTTATTTTTGGTTTGAAATTTCTCGAGCTTAAATTGCAACAAGACTTTAAAAAAACCTCTTTCAAAAATAGGAATAAAAAATCTTTTCTATATTTAAACCAATAAAAAAAGCATCCAAATCACTTAAAGAGATTTAAAGATAGCCACGTGATTTTGCAAAATATTGAAAAAGGTAATTTAAGAAAAAAATTAATCCAGTTAAGAAATCGATCCATAATTTAAAAACATGCAACTAACAACAAGAAAAGGTTCATGAGTTTCCTCAACGAAAAAGAACTGCTTTATACGAGAAAATCGAATTAATCTATTTTAGAAATAATCAAGAAAAGCCCCAAATATTGCATGATAAGCCAAATAAAATACAGAAAAAAAACCAGCTAAAGATTTAAACGTCTTCATCAGGAAATCTTCTTACCAGCTAATGCTAATTTCGAGGTCAATTAACATACCATCTTTTGTTCAACGTTTCTCAAACTCAAATTACAGGCACGACTTCAGTTAATTGACGGCGCTTTCGAATTTTCCAATCCCATTTGTCGAAAATGAAGGAAGAATAAAGAAGAAAAAAAAAGAGAATCTTCATCCATACTCCACAATCGCCTACGTTGGAGACTGGGCTCGGAGATGTGTACCCAGAGATGTGTGCCAACCAACTATTTACCTATCGAAGCGTGCAAGAATGGTTAGAAAGGCTGAAAAGTTCTAATCCCTTTTAAGACGAAACTAACCGACGATTTCATAATCTCCTTCCATAATGGATTCAACAGCTATGGAAAGGTATGAGGGCTAAAGGCGTAAATGTAGAAGGGCGATAATCCTATTATGGCATTGAAAATCGAGCGCCCATTTTGGGGAAAGAGTTATTTTGCTTTCTAGGTCCTAGTCTTAAGACTGCGTGACGAAGTGTCTAGGACCTAGCCTCTTAAGTGAAGTGGCGTGCGTGGCAAATGAGATGGAAGGCAGGCGTAAATAGCATGTATGTGATTAAATCAACGAGCACACCGTGTCGAAAATCTGGCAGAAAGTTCCATGGCGAGTAGGAATAAGTAATTACAAACTCTATCACTAGCTAGTTTTGCACGTGAAAGAGAAAATTGCTTTAACTAGTAATGGAATCGGTGACATTTTTAGTCTTGTGTTTAGTTTTACGAATTTTAGGTATAACAAAGAATTACATAACATAAATTTTTCATCTAAGAAATATTATCAAAAAGTACATTTTGATATTTTAAATTATAAAAGCGCTTTGATTAGAACAAAATCTATTCTGAAAAGTATGTGTTTTAGATTACTCTACTTTTTTGATAGTTAATAATATAATAAATAGTTTCTGTAATTTCTTTAGCAATTATCTTCATTTTAAAAAGTAAATGTTATAATTAATTTATCAATTTATGAAATTTTCCAGTCAGGCTTTTTTAGCTTCTGCCATGAAAAAGGAGCTAATTATTGATAAAAGTAAAACTAAATTTTTCAAATATTTACCTTCTATGGAAAATAATAGAAGCTCAAAGTGCATTTACGATGGCAAACTTCGGAAAGGTTGATGATGTAAAATACTTTAAAAATATGTTTAAAGACAAAGATAGGCCAGAAGCAGAAATTAAAGACACAATTAAAATATCCAATAAATTATTCGTTGACCTGAGAAGACGATTGAAATTCCATCCGAGGCAAAGTAAATTAAAAAAATATATAAGATACTAACACAACATATTTTAATAGATAGGAGTGAGACATAGACTTTAGGAATATACACGATGCCCATTAAATATTTTTGCGAGAAAAAGGCCGAGAGAAATTTTTATTGCATTGCAGAAAAATTGAGAACAAGAAACAAGTTTGAATTTTTCTGCTTTTGTAAGCAACCACACATAGCATAAGTAATCTTAATGATAAACAGGCCATGTTTAGAACAGCTCGGAAGATAATTTCACTAAGATTTTAACTTTCAAAAAGTCTGAAGGAAAATGAGCGAAAGAAAGATCACCGGTTGGCTCGCTGGATGGTATTGAATTTCAAAATTTATTATGTTAGTAAATTCATTTGTACATAAAAATTAAAAATTCATTTTTATTTTGATTTAACTCCATATCTTTAAAAATAATTTTTTTAAATTATTTATCAAATTTGATTCGTCACTAAATTAATTTACCTTCATCATTCTTAAGAATAGAATAATTGCCCAAATGGATAGTAATAATTTCCTACATTGATTTCTCAAAATATTTGTTCAAGCTTTGTTTCCCATGTATGACCAATTATTTTCAACAAATGGTCATTAACATCTTCAACACAACTTCAGTCAACAAAAAAAATAAAACAAAAAGATACGCTTTATTTCTTCATTGCTTGAAACATAAGATCATTAGATATTTACTTCAAATCATGGCATTTATTTAAAGCATTTTATCGAAGTTTAAAATTATATTATTCAACAAATGATCATCAACATCTTCTATTAACAAACCTTCTTCATAGAATATACGTTTATTGTTTTCATTACTTGAAACATAATTTATGATCAATTGATATTTACTTCAAATCATGGCATACATTTTAAACATTTTATCGAAGACCAAAAATTAAATTATTCACGAAATTGTCATCAATATCTTCAATCAACAGACCTTTTTCATAGAATATATGTTTTATTTTTTTCATTATTTGAAACATAATTTAGGATGAATTGATATTTAATTCAAACCATGACATTCATTTAAAACATTTTATCAAAGACCAAATACTAAATCATTTTACAAATGGTGATCAACATCTTCAATTAACAAACCTTCTTCATAGAATATATGTTTTATTTTTCCTTTAATTGAAACATAACTTAAGATCGATTGATATTTACTTCAAACCAGGACATTCATTTAAAACCATTTATCCAATTCATCGAAGACCAAAAATTAAAAACAATTTAAATCTAAATGAGCTTGGACTCCGTGATACAATTTCGTGCACCATTGACCTATTGCACTCGAAGTTCTGTCAATTTAATTAGAGTTCCTCTGGAAGTAGAGTTCAGTGTGCATTGTACTTCATCACTGAGCACGAGAGATCTATTTTGGTATTGGATTATGCTTCAATTGTGGTATTGAACTGTTGACATTGTCAGATGGTGATGTTTACCAGACCGAGTAACTTGTTTCTCTGATTGTTGTGTTCGATTTCAATTACACTGCTTTAGAATTAAATTTGTTCACTGTAAATAGACAAACTCAGTTCAATTTGGCCTCGAAAACTCTCCTTGTTTGCATATGGTTGTCAGTTTGACTGTTTTAATAAAAGTTTGGTATGCAACTAATTTCTTCATTTCATTTCACTTCTTTATTAATATAACATCAGTGCAACTTTTCTTTAAAAAATTATTATTGTATAAATATATAGTTATTTCAATATTGTATGTTTTTATTATATTGTATTGTATTAGCAATATTATATTGTTCCTATTTAATTAACTACTCAGACTGAATTTGTTTGAACCTAGTTGCTAGTCTTACTTCATTAATCTATAACTTTTTAACGAACTGAGTTCTTAATAACTCTTTGCAACCATATGCTGTTTGGCTTGAATGAGAAATTTAATTTTATTGATTACGTACGTGTTCTAGAAAAAATTGATCATAATTTCTAAATATTATTATTATTACATTTATACAATATATTCTAGGTATATCCCATTAATTAAATACCATTTATGTCTAAAATATGTCAATATTTAGTCTTGTAAATGACTAAACATTATAGATGTCTTCGGCTCAAGAAAGTGTTTAGAATTCCTTTTCCTTGGAATCTTCATGTTCTTTCAATTCATCAGTTGACCAGCGACATTAATCAGAAATAAAATGAGCATATTTAATGTGTATTAATGTGCACGTTCAGAAATATCCTTCTTTAAACAATGCGCAGCATTACATAATAATAATAATGCGTAACCATGTCACATTGCTAGCTCTGCTCTAACAGTAAACGATTTTTGCAGCAGTATGGATTGAGAATTTTCTGATCATGACTTCTGCTACACATGACGCTTCATTCTAGACAAAAGCACCTTTAGTGTTGTCATCAACAACCTTTGCACAGAAATGGCGGCACGTCAACCTAATAATCAAGTCTGGTTTTATAAGAGTCACATACGTGATTGGGACCATCGTGGATAACGCCCACTATCACTCACTAATCACTAGTACTGATGAACTGTTTCAAAAGCTTACTTCCTTCTAATTTGCATGTAACGGCACTACAACCGGTTTTATGACCAAATTTTATGCGAGAGTCACAGTACGGATTTCTATAATTCTGTAGTAAAGTATCGAGGGAGACTAGGGTTCGAGAAAATACTGTTCAGACTCTGTTCAACTCCCTGTTCAGGCAGATAAATGTTATTACTAGTAAAAGTTTCAACTCTAGAAACTGATTTTTTTCAGAACCGATGCTTCCTAATTTCCAATGAATTTAATCACTCCTTCCTTTCCCTTCAATGTATGCACCCAATAAATATAATTTTATTGTTTACACTCCTTGCTGGTGTTGTAGCAATATTAATGGAATTTTATTACAAATAAATCATGTTGTTGTAGTCGTTTCTAGTGACACTTGAATAGGCCAAGTCTACCAGCCATTGGCCTTGTGAATTAAAACAGGAATGTGAGATTTTGTTTGACAAGAGAGCACCGCAAGGGTAAAAGCACGATATGGCTCACAACCCCTAGGATAGCTGTCAGCATCACTCATTCGTGAGGCTACTTCCTCAATTCAGACATAAGTCTGAAGGCGAATGTAATTTTCTGCAGATCTCTGTACCAATGGTACTGCGATCCCCCAGATTTCTGCGATTTCTCAGAGATTTCGCTTCCGCAGATTTTACGAGCACGTATGTTGTATGAACTCGGTTGGTCTTAGCAGAGTCAAAGATCCAATCCTGGCCTCTCTGGTCCAGAGTCCGATCCACAGTGTNTATACATATATATAAATATGTCCTTCTGTATACATTGCAAGCAAAGAACGAACTTTAATTTAATATATTGAAAAGAAGCTGAAGCTCATCAAAAAAAAGTAGAAATTATTTGTAAGCGAGAGAACAAACAAGAAGAACCAGTGAAACAGTATATTTAAAATTAGAGACTTGATTTACTTCTTAAGATCGTCTCGACGGTTTCTACTTTGATTCTATTTGACTTGTTTAAATCTGCTGAAAAATTCACTCTCATGTCTGTTTGAATTCTGTAAATTTCTGCAAACAGTTTTCGCCTGTGAATCCGAAGAAGAGAGATAGAAAAACAACATTCAAACGCCTTGAGGAAATATCTTTCTCGGCTCAGAAAGAAGAAAACAAACTTTGCTTTCTCATCAAAAAGATGAAACATCTTATCCGAAATGGAAATAAAAAAAGGAAAAAAAACATGGACTGAGACGTGGGTGAAAGCTTATTTCCCCCTGGATTTTGTACAGGAAAAAAACTATTATACCTTTTCCATTATTTACCTTAATAAAAGGAATACTCATTTTCTTTTCTGTTTGTTTGCACGTAGGAGTGTGTAAATTGCATATTGATACTCGAAACTAAACTTGTAATCGGAAGTTTGATTGCAAGTATTACCTAAAAGCAATTTGAACCAATAAATAAAAACATACTAAAATTAATGAGATTCTTAATACATTATGATACCAAAACCTTTATAAAAAACTATGCCTTTTTCCATTTTTATGCCAACTATCGTCTTTCTATTTCTCATAACTGTATGTAAAATATGATATTCAAAAAGTCGCCAGTAACAGATTTAATTTTATTTTATGATAGCCGTTGAACAGCCGACCCAATTTTGAGTTAGCGACTGTCAATGTTAATTTCCGTAACCTTGTAACTTTGAACCCAACCCAGAAGACAAGAACTGCTGGATCAACCACTGGGACAAACTGGCCTTCCTTTGGCTTTTTGATGGAACTAACGTACATTTGCGTTACATGAAGACGATAACCTCCCATGGTTTAACCTAGGATAATGGGATACTAATCCATGATCGTCTACCAAATTTTACGTCAGTACTGTGGTTGGTACGAGTCAAGAGCAGAATTCATAGCAACCAGTCACCTCTGGGATTCGAACTTGTGCACTTCATTAGGAGGGTAACTCTGTATCGCCTGTGCAACCGCGGTTTACCTGTAATAGATTGCAAGCCCTCCGGTGGCACAGTATATTACTGCGTCGCTCACACAGCAGGTGGAGAGCTTGAGGTTGTGGGTCCTATCCCGATAGCCGATAAAAACAATCGGCGTGTATACGCCACAAGGAGCAAGTTAATTCTGTTGTGGCTGAAAGTTCTCTCGTTGTCGAAGTTTGCGAAAAGGGCTACCAGCTTTGCCGTTGTCTACGCCATCTGACTGGGGTTATAGTGACGCGGTATTCTTACCATGACCTTCAAAAGATACAGCCATAAAAACTGGGCTAGGTGCTTGGCCATGGTTAGGGATATTACAAACTACGAGAATTGCGATAATAGGTTGTAAAATGATTGCAAGAATTACCTGAAACAAAAGTATAATAAAATGAAAGTATAATAAAATGAAAGCGATACTTACTGCAGTATGATATCAAAACCAGTATGAGCTATTATACCTCATATTATTTCTCATTATTAAATTATAGAGTTTATTTTATTACTTCGTGGA